CAAGATTTTTTACTTTATCATCTGAGATCAATTTAAACCAATCCAAAGGAGGAGACTGACTAATAAGCTTAATTTTCAAAGACTGGTCAAAAGACTATAACTTATGTTTTGTCTGCATTCAGGAGCAGAAAGTTAAGAGTCATCCAGGTTTTACTGTCTTCAAGACATGTCTGTAATCTATGTAATGGGTTAGCATCATCTGGATTTATAGACAGATATGGCTGAATATCATCAGCATAATAGTGGAAATTATATATATATATATATATATATATATATATATATATATATATATATATATATATAAACTCTTCCTCACTCCACTCACCATGGGCGGTCTCCCTTTTTTCCTCCAAGCTCGGGTCCTCTACCAGAAGTCTGGGAGCTTGAGGGTTCTGCGCTGTTCCTAGAACTGCACTTGACCAAGATTTCTGATGTATTTCCAGGCTTTTGCGTTAACCACTTCACTGCCCCGAATGCCCCAATGATCAATGGTCTTTCCAGGGTTTCTCCAGCTCTTCTACAAGCCCCTATATTTCTCTAGTTTCTCATGTTCTTTTTTCCTGATGTTGCATTCAGTTGGTATTGCTACTATGTCAACCCCAACTGCTTTCCTCTGCTTTTTTGTCCACCACCACAATGTCTGATTGGTTTGCCCTTACCATTTGGTCCGTCTTTATCTGGAAGTCCCACAGGATCTTGGCTCAGTCATTCTCTACCATCTTTGGAGGTGTTTCCCACTTTGACCTTGGGGTTTCCAGCCCATACTCTGCACATATCTTCCTGTATACTATTCCAGCCACTTGGTTATGGCGCGCCATGTAAGCTTTTCCTGCCAGCATCTAACACCCTGCGGTGTGGTAGGTCTGGGCCTCTATACCTCTGGTGCTCAGGGCCTGCTCTTGTGCAGCCATGATGAGTGTCTCTGTGCTGTCCTTCACTCCAGCTTGGTCTAGTCATTGGTAGGATTTCCTGATATCCACTACTTATGTTATGTTTCGGTGGTGCTGGAGGTTCCATGACGGAACCTCCAGCATCCCATCTGTTGCATTGAAATTAGCCTCCAGCCTTCTTTTCAATGGTGGGTATTTCATCACATAGCCAAGCATCTCTAGGATCATTGCTGCTGTGCAGTATATCAGCTCATCGGTGTCAGTGATGGTTGATGTAGGAATTGCTTGCATGGCTGCATTCAGGTCTTGTAGTAGACTTACAAAAAGCTGCAATGAAGAGACTCACTACATTTATTCTATTTGTTTATCATGCAACAAAGAGTGGAAAAATGTTGAGCAGTTCTGGCAGACTTTTGCACATGAAAAAATGTTTTATTCAGTAAGTTTTGTCATCTTGACTCAGTAGAATAGGATTTGTCACCGCATCATATCACCTGTAAGGAGGATAACTCAAATGGATCCCATGCAATCTGTGCTCCTTTTCGCTTTGCAGGCCTTAGAGCAGCATTATTTAAGGGAAATTGATTTTTTGTAACCATATACCTTTCTCTGTTTCTCCTTATTATACTGAATAAAAATACATAAAAATAGAGGAACCAATGTAAAATATTTTATTTTTTCTCAATTCTAAGCTTAGTTTTCTATCAAACTATGAAAAAAGCACAAAACATTCAATTAACATAGTAGGCCTCCAAACAATTAAAAGATAATTTGAGGCAAGGGGCCTCCATAAGTTGGAAAGCCCGGGGAACTTGCATGCATTCCAGTTTGCATGTAGGTTGCCAAATAACAAAAATCTATTAGAAAGGAATATGACCTTAGAATTAACCCAAATTCTGAAAGTCCATCAGTTAACTTATACCCCAGGCAATCAACCGATAGGCTGTTGTTTTACTCTTACATCATGCAGTTCACTGTAAACTGTGTGCTCTGGGTTTGTTTTTCATTTGGGTTTGTTGCTAGAGTGATGTGCAGCACACAGCACCTGTCTTCTCTGTTTGCTCAGCATTTGTACACGCACCATGTGTGTTTGAACGATGATAAATGAGGCTGGTAATGACACTTTAACAATGACTGCATTAGTGTTCCAGCAGGCTTTACGTCAGCAGCCTCCAGCTATGCTATGAAAGCTGTTGACACCTGCATGCGGTGGCAGCGCAACGTTTTATTTATGAAGCACTAAAGCGCTGTCTACTCCCTGAGCATCTGGCCTGCCTCAACTTCTGGATACTGTTCCGTAGCTTTTATTGAATTATAAAGTTGGTAGAGCAGTAGCTGTACCTCTTCTTCTACAGCTGCTTTAATTCCCAATAACTCTAGTGCACATATAAGTTTGACATTAGAGTAATGACTCAGGAGACGTCTTATAGCCCTTGAACTACTTTCTAATATAGTATATATGGAGGTGAGTTCCCTCAAACACCTGCTCAGCTTGTAAAACCTCAAGTTATTATGTGTTTTATGGGTAATATCAGTGAGTATTTAAAGTTCTTCGGACAGGCACTTTACAGCATCCTTTAGCAAACTTCTGGAATGCAATTATGTTTGTTTTTAATGATTACACATTTATTCTTTAAAACTGAAGTAAACAGAATAAATTAATAACGTTCAACATTAATTGTATTATTAATGTGGTAAGCAGGTCTGTTTTCTTCGTGACCCAGTCTGGGTCAAACTTCAGCTGTTAAACAGAAGGTCTTGAATTTTTTTATTTGCTGGAATACGGTTGCATACAGAGGAGCTCATGGTCAACCTAGTCCCTGCAAGGTGTTCCAAGCACAGATCATCAACGCTCCACCTCCATGCTTACAGCTGTATGATTTGTTGTTGTTTGAAGATGCTATTCTCCTTTTTTTCTTGAAAACAAGCAAAATATGTACAGTTTATTTCAAAATTCTCTATTCTGACCTAGTCTACACGGAAACATATTGGGATTACTAGCAGCTATCTTTAAGGTTTTGTTCTTGTTAATAAATATGATTCTGCACTTTTCAATTCTGTTTAAGTTTTCTTTTTGAGTCTTCAGTTACACTTTGATTTATTTCATTCTGTGTTTTCAGATTAGTGGTTTCATTTCAATTTTGTCAGCTCTCCCACAATGTTTACATTTGATCACTGCTGCACTTTAAGAAATGGAAATGTCATGAGAGCTGTACAAAATGACATTTCTTGACAAAAAAAGCTGTCTAAGTAAGTAATTTTAGTTGTTTTCTGGTTGTATTTGAGTTATTATGTAGTTCTTGTTTACTTTCTGTAAACAAGACAATACTGTACCTGACAATACCTGACAATTCGTGATCGGGAGGTGGTTGTGAGAGGCTAATTGCCCCTCGTTAACCCCTGTATACTACACAACGCAAGACACACGATGAGGCTGAAACTCGGCCTGATCCAGAAAATTCTTGCATGACTGGAGAATTGACCTGAAAGAGGCAAAAAAAATAAATGACATAGTGTCAGCCCATCCTAGCTGCTACCACATGTAATCTACCAATTAAAAAATTATTCTTAAAACCCATTTTTCTGCAAACGCATGCTGTACTTCTTGTGTGGCTGACCTTTATTTTTCAATGTTTTGTTTTGGTCTTTCTTAGTTCTTTAGAATGCATTACAAACTTGTCATTTTTAAAGCTATGGTTGGTAACGGTGGAGAGCTAGCAAGATTTTAAAGTGGTGCTACCCCCTTCCCCTGCCTTCTGTAAGTTTTTTTTTTGTTCCTCTTTCTGAACACATAAGGTTTTTGACCACTCTCAGAATGGAAGGACACTCAATATAACTAAAAGTGGTTTTAAACAGGATCACCAACTCTAACTTTAAATCTCTTGGTTTTATTTCTGATATAAACAGCAATTTATGAACCTTGGTTTGTCTTGAAGTGTTACAAACGAACTAGTGGCCTAATTCCGAAACTGAATCTCAATGTCACAGTCTTGGTTTTCCATTTGTTGTCCTCTGCTGCCCTCTTGTGTCCTCTTTCCCTAGCTCTGTTTTCTGCTCTGCCCTCACCTGTTTTCAATCCCCTCGTTAACCCTCTCTTTGTCTCTGTCCCCTTTAAAAGCCTCCCTCTTCAGTTCCTGTTTGCTGGATCCTCGTCAAACGTCTGTCTGCTTACCTCGTCTCTCCCTGGCTCCTAGAGTTTTGATTTACTCCCTGATGTCTCCTTGGGTCTGGTTCGTTTGTAATTTTTGTTGGATTTTTTATTCCTGCCTCAGTTCCTGTGAACCTCATTAAACCCACCTAAATTCACCTCTGCCTACTTGCCTCTGCATTTGGGTCCTCAAACCAACACCAAATCCTGACACTCAATGATCAAAATTTTACCCTGCAGGATAGAGGACTCTGTTGCATGCTCTGCCAATACAGGAAACACCTTCATTTATAACGTTAATTCCTTAGCGAAAATTACATCTTTACTATTAATTATTAGTGCTTGTTCTAAATATTTCGAAGAACACTTTGTTTGCTTCTTGACTCAAGGTTTAATTGTGACAGCTGCATGCTCCTCATGTTCAAATGGGACAATCTCTCTCTGTTCATTTATTGACCCTGTAATTTTATCCTGCTTCTGCTGGTTGTAATGTTCACTCAGATCAGCATGACATGTAGAACAAAGTTTGTGGGGCTTTTTCAACACAGAGTACAAATTAAGTTGATCAAACCCAAGGTATTTTGGATTTTGAATTAAAGAATATCAGAAAACAAATCCAGTAAAGAACATCCCTGTCCTGTTATAAACAAATGAACAAAAAATGTTATGTCAATTGTTATGTTAGAAACATGCAATCAAGTGATATGATTGGTAATATATAATGATAGATGCTCTTTCTTTCTGGGAGCCTTTATGCCCCTGTAGGTTTGGCCATGTGACCCTGGGCGTCAAGCAGCATCAGTCCTGTCAACAGTTCTCACTTTGTGTGAGTTTTTCAATGAAATTACTGCAATAAACGGACATTTCTATGATATCCTTGCGCTTGGAGATGCACCTGTAGCCTATGCTTAACCGTTTCCTCTCTCACACCGAGTCGCCATATGCTCTCTCTCCCGTCTTGGAGGAGCGAAGAGGAGGCTGTGAGGTAATAGTTTACAGGAGGGGGTGTTGGTGGTGGAGAGAGAGACGGGATATAGGACGAGCATAACACAGAGGTTTGGCTGCAGACTCGCCAGGATCCCTTTCGCCGCCTCTCCCTCTCAGGTCAGTAAAACCAAACGCACCGTGCACAGAGAAAACATCCTGGGAGGGGCTGTGGGGAGGGTGGCTGCGCGTTTCGCTGCTTTCTTCTGGGCTGCAGCTCGCATGGTTTCAGGGAAGTAGAGATATAAAAAAAAAGCGGGTTTGGATAGTTATTTAAATGGTTTTTATTGTACTGCGATCGGTGTGTGACGGTGCACATAAACACATGCAGTCGGCTGCAGGTATTCGCCATCCCTCGCTGCAACATGCGGGGAAAATACGCGCACAGGGTTTGTGTTAGTTCTGCAACAGACTGCGGATGATTACTTCTGATACTCAGTCACCCACCTGCTCCCTCCGTCCAGTTACCGTCTGGATGAGAGAAAGTGAGAGGAGGTGGAGGTTTTTTTCTTCCATGAATAGAGATCATTGATGGGGAGGAGGCAGGAGGCCGGCTCGGGTCCTCCGCAGTGCCGCGCAGGCAGCACCAGCTTCTGATGGATGATGGAGAGCCTGAATTATTTATAGCAGCCATAGCATTGATTAGCTTTATGTAATTCACCCTGGGGCTGAGATGGGGGCTGCCACACTGGTAGGTGTTGTTTGGGCATCGAGGAAATACGATTTGCAATCAATGGGCGCGCGTGCGTGCCATCCTGTGCGCGCATTTACAAACATACCCTGTGTGATGGGTAATGTGTGGAAATAAGAGACGATAGTAACTCGCTATGCAGACTAAAAACAAAAACACAAAATAAAGCATTTATTTTCAGGATTAACTTACATCTGACTATTTATTTCTCTGTCTAGACCACAATAGATTACAATTTACAAAGAAAACCAAAGCTCTCATAAAATCTGCAATCTAAAGCGCTTTTTTTTTATTTAGGACCCTTGATTTTGATGATCTTTTCATGATTATTATCTTAAATACTGGATTCTTGGCCTGACCAGTTTGCTGTTTGAAGCAGATATTGTTTATTGTAACTTTATAGACAACAATCAAATAGGGTTCATATTTGTTTTCTCCCCTTTTGTAGAACAAAAGGGGGCAAAGAGCTACCATACTGTTTGCAAACCGTATGGATGTCTATTGGAAAATAAAAACTATAATAATTAATAATTTTAAAAAACAACAACAAAGAAATAACAAAAACTACATGATAGTTTTTCTTTAGTGTGGTCTTCAAGGGTATTTAATTAAGTAATTGTATTTTAGAAAGTATTTTTTTCATGTAGAACCATAACTTTATTTGAAACAATTAAAGTAACTTTGAAGGCAGTGGAGCACATTTAACTTTTACTGACAGATAATCTACAGATACAAACAGTGCATTACTGTATGTATTTCTATTCTAAATCTGCAACAGGTTTAAATACCTTGACTCAGCTGTTGTGGTTTTATTTTGGCTCTTTGTAACATGGTGTTCAGGGGTTGTTAAGCTGCTGGTTCTGCTTCCCCATCCCGCTGTTATGTTTTGGTAACACCTTTAATAAACTGTTAAAAACCTCATGAGGCTTGTCAGTGTAGGAAAAATGTGGCTCGGAAAGAAACGCAAATACATTCTGCAATACAGAACGGCATAAAGAATTGTTTTTATTCAACTTATTTTTAGAGGAAATGAAAGAGCGTCACACATTTGCCTTATGTGGCATCAGGGATACAGCCTTACCTCAACGAAAGATAAAGTTTATTGCTTTTTGGAAAGTCGGTACTGCAGCTTTTGATCAAATCTTCACATCAGTATTTTAATAGGTTTTTTTATCTGTTTTGAGTGACTTGCTTTTATGATTAGTTGTGCATTTATTTTTTTAGCGGGTTTCTTCTATTAAACCCACCTTAGGTTGACTGTGTTGTGGTGGAGAGTTTGAACTGACTAACATTTATGTATGTTTACATCCATTTTGCATCCGAAATAAAACATCACGATCCAGGTGGAGAAAATAAGCCCTACAATGTCTTACTGCCAGTGGTTAGCTTCTTTTACTCTGTAAACTGGAGCAGGGACTAAATTTAATATTTCTCCAAAGTGTTTTTAAGTTAAATATACAATTTAAGATCCATGTTCTTTTGATATATAGTGTTGTTGATTTGTTATTGGATTTGATCAAACTAAATGTGAAACCTGACACCTTCTGTTCCCATCCAGTGTGTAGTCTTAATTTTCAGCTGAAAGAAGTCCAAAATCCACATAATATTTTTTATTCACATTTTTTCTTACTTCTTTTCATGATTGGTCTCTTTTATAACAGCTCTTAGACAGCGCAGAAAAAAGACCATACATTTTTAGAACCAATCCCCGAAATAACATGCATCAGTAACCAAACTATTATTATATGCTTCCATCTCTGAGCTGTCTGCTGTGTTTTGCGGAGAACTTTATTCTGTTATTTTTATTACTGCGTGTCTCTCGTAATAATATGTATATAAATGACAAGGAAGAGCAGATGAACAAAGCCTTATCGCGGAGGCTGGACTTGTTTGAATTCACAATCAAAATTCTTCCTGTCTCCTTATTTTTTACAGACCTTGAAGGATCCAGTCCAGATAGACCGGGTCCTTGGAGGATGCAGAATTTGTAGTCGAACACACCCAGTTCCTCTCAATTATCTAACTATTTGATTCAGGTGTGTTGAACCAAAGGCACATCTAAAAGTTAGAGTATACTAGCCCTCAGGGACTGGAATTGCACACCTCTGGGGTAGTGCATAGATAATTATATCAAAAGTTATATCAAAATGTTGCAAACCCCGGTAATGTATAATATAGTGGTGAATAATTGTCCTTACTTACAAGTTAAAGCCTTATTGAAGTTATTTCACATTCAGTTTTGCATTGTTTTTTAGACATTGGCAGAAATACCCAGGTCCGAGCCTGCTTTTAGTACATAAATGCTCGCCTCTCAGGCTCCAATGCCATCCCTCGCCTTGAACAGACTAAACTTATTTTTTTTGTAAAATAAAAGTGAAGTAGTGGAGCCTGTACCTTGAGTCGTTAAAAATGACATTTCTCAAATTCTGATAGCTGTGCACTGTGAGAGAACCCTGCTTAGCCAATAGAAACAGGATACCTATCAAACCATGCATTACAAAGGCTAAGAGAAAATACCTTCTCCAAACACAACTTGTGAGCAATCTAAATCATAGAATGTCATCCCAATTTTTCCTCCTTTGTTGTTGCTCTTTTTCTCTGTGTCACTGGCAGGTCTACTTCCACTGTTGCTTTTACCACATGCCAAATACACATCATTCCTCACCGCATGAAAGCTTTGCACATATTATTTTGAAAACTCTTCCGGTTTTGCTGTCAGTGAGTTGTGTTCCAGAGGTCAGTGCCACCATTGCTGTTTTTGGTGTAAAAGCCTCAAAATAAGATTCTGTGGTGAGACAAACAGTCGGTCAGTACAAGTCTGACAGGCCTGTTATATAACATGGGACAGTTGTGCCATTACACAGTTGCTAAATGAGGTAAACAGACAGAGACCTCCCCATACAAAAAAGTACATTTTGAAATAGACAGCAAAATTAGATTGTCGAATATTTTATGCTTTTTTACTTTTCTGTTTTTGCCAATCAACAGCAGGCCTGACATAATAAAAAAAAAAACAATTAATTGCCCATTAAAATTATAATTTGAATTAATATAACTTTTTAATTGGCTTGATAATTATCGTTAGCTGGCTTGATTGCATTTCCCTCTCTTTTGACTAAAGACTAGTTGACAAAAGTTTTCACTCTGGTACATTGGTCACCACTCAACCCTGCCCTCTCATTTCCTCAGCATAGGGAGGAGTTAACTCATGCATCAGGTATGCATTGTCTCATACTATTATATACCACAGAGTGCAATGTGAGCCCGTGAGGAGTAGCAAATCAGTGAAACGACTATTTTGAAAAAGAGATGGAATTGGTTTCAAAGCTAAAAGTAACAGCGGCAGTGAGGAAGCACTTTGGATTTCAGCTAAATGACCATGGTGAGCCTGTGGTGACATAAATGGACTAGCTAGTATGTAGCATTTGTTGTAAAGCAGTAGCAACTAGTGGCAACACAACAAACACACAGCTGCACCTAAAACATCATCACCCTGTGCAGCTGTCCAGGCTGGAGAAAAACTGCAACTAGTGGGCGGTATCAGTCTTCCTGACAATCTATCATCACTGCAGGGTTTAATCACTAAACTAAATACAAAAATGTCAGCACTACTATTATGCGCTCTTACAGACATTTTAGTGTGCTTTAAAATTAAAATTAAAAATATATAAAAAAAGATGCTGCCTTTTGATTTTGTTTAAAAAGTAGCATATTGAAAATGTAATATTCATACCCATCTTAATCAGCAAACCCACAGCTGTACAATAACACAAAAGATAGTGAAATAAAAGACAACTTGGTTTGTTTTCATATTTTAGTTTTTATAGCAGTAGTGGCTTGTTTTTCTGACAGTAAGTTGTCAGGAAAGGGGGTATGAGAGAGGGGGAGAGAAATGCAGCACAGGACCACAGGTCAGATTCAAACCCTGGTCAGCGGCATCGAGAATTAAGGCCTCCGTACATGAGTTATGTAGCCTGATGTAGTCCTACTCAATTCTAGTCAGAATATGAGTCTGATACTGCTCCATAGAGCTGTGTTATGGGGCGTGTTTCAAACAAACCAGGGAAAACAAATGCCTCTGCACTCAATTGGATAGACCTACAACCAATAAGACCAACGTAGTGCGTGACGTATGTTAAACTTCCCGACCTCAAACATATGTTACCTACTATGTTTACAACATGGGATTAATATCACAACATTGCGAGTTATTTACTAAATCAGACAGTCAGATGATCTGTTACCATTTGTAAGTTAGATGAACTACGTCCACGACGATACCCATAACGTTGGCTTGAAAACATCGGAGCCTAGCATGTCCCTCCACTTGTTGTTCAGCAGCCAGGATTCTGAGCTTCCGAAAAAGGAGCTGGCAACGACCGCTGGCTATATCCACCTCGTCGTTCACGCCGAGTTGCATCGCCGTTTG